CGGGTCCGCCGTCCTAGCTGTGAGCTGGGGCCAGGCGCTGCCTGCGGGCGCGTGACCAGCCTTCTCTCGCCACAGCCGGCCGTGCCGACCTCCCGAAGGTCATCTACGCCTCCAGGACCCACGCGCAGCTCTCCCAGGCCGTCCGCGAGCTCCGCAGCACGGCCTACCGGTGGGTGCCGCTCGCCCTGGGGCCCTCGCGTCACTGGGCTGTCACCTCTGGGGGCTCGGGGGCCTCGCCCCACATGTCGCCACATCCTGGCGGCCCTGGCCCAGGCCTTAGGGCAGCAGAGAAAGTGCACGCCTCCTGCCTGGGCCGCCCCTGGTGCCTGCCCACTGGTCTGGGCCTGAGGCCAGGGCGCTGCCTGGACACGTCCTGCCCCCCAGGCCCCGGGTGTGTGTGCTGGGCTCCCGGGAGCAGCTGTGCCTCCACCCCGAGGTGAAGCGGCAGGAGAGCAGCCACGTGCAGGTGGGTGTGGGGTGCGGGGTGGGGGTCCCGGCAGGAGGGGTGGGGCGGCGCTGAGCTCCGGTTCCTCCCAGATCCACCTGTGCCGCAGGAAGGTGGCCAGCCGCTCCTGCCACTTCTACAACAACGTGGAGGGTGAGTGCCCGCAGCCCCACCTGGCTCCGCTCTGGAGCGGCGGGCTCTGGACCTCGGGGCCAGGCAGAGGCGCCGGCTACTCCCTCCCCTGTCGGCCGCCGGTGCCGCCCCTGGGCGCAGCTGGGGGTGTGAGTGGGTGGGCCTGGCCGCTGCCAGCTGGCCCTGCCGCCGGTGGTGCCTTCCTGGGGCCCTCGGTGCTCTGGACCCTGCAGTCAGGCAGCGCCTTGTCTGCTGCAGGCTTTGCGTCCTCAATCTGGTGCCCCACTGGGGCAGCGCATGGCTCCCGGGGTCCTTGGGTTCCCGGCCCTCCCTGGGAGACTGGCCTCGGGGTGTCCGGCGGGTGCTCTCCCTGCCTGGGGGCCTCCAGGGAGCCCTAGGCCTGGGTGCGGGTCACAGGGCAGCGCTGACTTTCCCCATCCCCAGAGAAGAGCCTGGAGCAGGAGCTGGCCGCGCCCATCCTGGACATCGAGGACCTGGTCAGGAGTGGCAGCCGGCACAAGTGAGGTCCCTCGGGGCGGCTCTCGGGCCGCTCGGGCCATCGTCCCTTCCTGGGCCTCTTCTCTGGCCTCTGGCTGTGGGCGGCCGGGTGACGGCGGGGCTGGCCAGGACGGGGCCTGGACGGCTGTCCCGGGACGGCACAGGAGGGCTCCACCGTGGGGGAGGCCGCCCCCTCGACCCCTGACCGCTCCCCCAGGCTGTGCCCGTACTACCTCTCCCGGAGCCTGAAGCAGCAGGCCGACATCATCTTCATGCCCTACAATTACCTGCTGGACGCCAAGGTGGGGCCGCGCTCTGGTCAGCACCCCGCAGGGCTCCCCGAGTGGCCGGTGGGGGCAGGGTGGCCGCCCCGGGATGTGGGCACTCCTGCCTCCGTGCCTGTGCCCCCGGCCCTCTGCGGAGTGGCGCTGGCCGTCCAGGGGCTCCTACTCCAGCCTCCTCCCCTGCCCCAGAGCCGCCGGGCCCAGGGCATCGACCTGCAGGGCGCGGTCGTGATCCTCGACGAAGCGCACAACGTCGTGAGTACTGGTCTGCCCTGCCGGGTCTCCCCAGGGGCGCCCCGACCCGCAACCAGCCCTCGGGCTCCTGCTGGCACCCAGAGGCTGGCTGGGCGCTGGCTCCGGGGCGGGCGCACGTGGCCCCTCAGTG